GGGGAGGGGAGGGAAGGGGAGGGGAGGACCGGGGCTGCGCGCCCGGCACTGTGCACGGAGCATCCCCGGCAGCGGCGCCCCTCGAACAGCGGTCGCTTCCCCGTCCCTGAGCGCTAGCTGCTGCCCCCTGATCACCAGTTGCTGCTCAGCGCTGAAACCAGGAGGGCAGAGCATTTTGCCTGTTTGCTTGCTTGTTTTAGGGGGTTCGTTTGCTTTTAACTGGACACTGAAGTTCTCGTTCCCTGCTTAGATTCTGGCGGCTTTGAGGACAAGACACCAGATACCACCACAAAATCTGAATGTCACTAACACTAAGCAGACCCACCTGACAGGGCCCAGAGCCAGAAGCCACAGCTCTTCTGGGCGTTGGTATCCTCACCTGCCACTTGACGGATCACATCACTGCTGTGTGCCTCAGTTTCCCTTCTAGCTCTGTGCTTTGCGTTAGTGCAACCCACTTTCACCACAGCTGCCACTGGCTGATTTCAAACATTGGCCACATGAGCAGCCACGGTGAACAGTCTGTCCAGCAGCCTCTAGCTCGGAGCAAGCTATGCTGGAGAAGGCAGCTTGCTCTCAGTGGCTGTCTTCTGCTGACCTCCCTCTGGAGCTGTGTCCCCTGGCAGAACGGTCACTATCCTGCTTCCAGGAGGGAGGTCTGAAGCAGTTCCTCAGCCTCTAACCTGGGGCTGAATGCGCAGAGGGAGAAGTGATGGCTGTCACACCTTAATAAGTGCTCAGCCAGCTCCCAGCCTCTTCCTTGTATAGGGCTGGGCAGCACAAGCTTGCCCCCTGCTTACTCTCCTGATGGCTGTGGCTGGCGCATCCTAGGAGTTTCTCTTGAAGAGGGTGCCACAGTCTTCAGCAAACCCAGAGGTAGCACAAGCCCAGTCTTCAGACAAGACTGCTGATCAGGTTTGGCTTCAGCAGCCGCATGTTCCCCCTTAGGTCATAGGCTCCTACTGTGCGATGTGCTAAGCAGGGCAAAAGGCCTTGAGATCCTTGGCTGGGAAGCACTCTTGGAGAAGAACACGAGAGCAGTCTCCTTGGGTTAGTTGACAAGTCTCAGCTACATTCCTGGAGCGCACATTGCTGGAAACACCTTAGAAAGAAAGACATCAAGTGGCATTTCAGAGCCCAAATGATATTTACAAAGCAGAACATAGAGAGGAACCAGATGCGGACAGTATGACGGATGTGTGAGCACCAGCACGTTTGTTCGCTCACCTGTCTCTCCCCTCGCCAAAGGGACGCCTTGAGCTGGGTGTATTTTCCCCAAGGAGACCCTGGTGCCATGCTCACCGCTGTCCTGCTCACTGCCGTGCTGCTGTCCATGCTCACCCCACTCACCTCTCCCTCAGCCAGGGTGGGCAGGAATTGTCCCCCTCCTTAACCAAGTGCATTGAGGGCTGAAGCAATCGTGCCCTGGCATCACAGGTTCCCCGCACTAGGAGAGAGCAGACCAGAAACGCAGCCACCCTTAGTGTTAGAGGCAAAAATCACCAGGTTGTAGAGCAGGCACAGAAGAGTCCTGTGCGCTTGGGGCTCAAAGCCAGCGTGTGCATGTCAGGAAATGGCCGGATGCTTTCCCACAGATGGCTCAGCAGAAGTCTGAATTAACCCTGCACTACTAGCAGAAGCATTATTCCACTCCAAGAATTAGCTAGCTGAGGTGCTCCAGCTCTGCAGCACCTTGATTTTAGCCAAACCTTCACCAATGAAATTGATTGTCTCCTGCTGTAATGCACTGCATCTCTCAGTATCCCCATGAGATAGGACAGAGATGTTATCCTCATTCTGTGGGTAGGGACTTGCAGAAGGGATAAGTGACAGATGACTGGCCACAGACATCTTATATGACCAGTGACCTGGACCCAAGTCTTGGGTGAACACCTTCACCCTGGGACCTCTCTAGAAGAGGCTTGTTAAGGACTTTCACTCCTGGGAATCTCTCCCAAGAGCAAAGGCAGGAGAAAGAGATTAGATCCAAGAGTGCTGGCTAGATCCAGAGTGCCTCTGTCTGGAGGCCCAAGCTTCTCAGGGATTTCTTATTCCTGCTCCAGGCTCTCTCTTTTTATGTCTACAGCTTTGACATAACTGTTTCACTGCTACACGTGGAGCCACAGTTTAGGCAATGCATCCCACAGCTGGAATGGAGGAGCTGAGGGCCAGCGCTGCAGAAAGATGCTCTCCCACATGCCTGGTCTGAGCCGGCTCCTGGCAAAAGCAGGACACTTCTGAATTGAGACTCTAGTCTAGGGAAGAGAAGCCTGTGCAGAGCATTTCTTTTGGCTAGAGAAACTAGGGTGGATTTATTGGAAGAGACAGGGCAGTACCTGGCATGCCATAACGTTCCTTGGCCCCCCAGAAAGTGTTGCCTGTGGCAGTTGGTGTTCCCAGCCACGTGGTAGGGGAGCTGCTGTACTGCTAAGTCCCTTCCTTCTCCCACGATCGTCATGGCTGTGTCCTGTCCAGAAACAAATCCAGCAATCTGCACTCCAGCGCTCTGGGTGGCAGCTCTCCCTCTGATGTGTTGTGCGATCTTAAGCTATCTGCTCTCTTCCTACCCCTATTTCCTACAGGGGAAGTAAAACATCACGTGAAAAAACTATGTGAAATCTCCACCTTGAGGGGCACTGTGAAGCTGAACTCATTCCCAAGCATTGAGTGCTTTGAGATCCTTCAAGACATGGTGCTGTAGAAGGTGGCTTATTGTGATCTGTACACAATTTATTCCTGCAATTTTCTTTTCTTTCTTTTTCACTGGCATTCCCTGTAGGGTCTGGTGCTGTGTCAGCCTTGAGGCAGACCCACAGACCACATCCCTGATTCTCGCAGTGGTAAGTCATAGGAGATGAAACGCTACGGAAAACATTCACTGACTCATGCTGCAAAGAAGTAAGTAGTGCCCCTGTGCTCTGAGCCTCCTGAGATCTTACCTCATCTGGGCTGAGAGCCGGCAGTTGCTCCACGCTCCCCTGGCTTGCCAGGCCTGCTGCTGCTGCCGCATGCTCTGCATGGCAGCGTGCACATCTGAGACATGTCCTAGGACTGGGGGAGTGAGTTGTTCACCCATCCCATCCTCCCTTTTGCACAGGTGTTTGGCTACAGGACAGCAGGGACCTTGACAATAACCTCAGCCAGGAAGTGATTCTGTGCTGTGGGTACCTCTCTGTTAGCAGCTGTGCTGAGGACTTACCTTCTCAAAGCATTCAAGCCACCAGAGGAGCAAGCACGGCCATTACGGGTTCCCAGCTGGCACGATGTACTTCACAAAAAATGCAAAAAGGGAGGAGGAGCTGCCAGCAGGCCAAGAGGAGGGCAGAGGGAGGATGCGGAGGCAATAGCAGGGAAATCTACTGAAAAGGTCCATCAATATTCATGCCCACAGCTGAAATGGCTCCATGTCCTTAAAGCACTGGGAAGCAATGACATCACATAACCCCTATAAATATGAATCTGAAGGCAATTTACAAGCTAAAGTGAGTGAAACCTTCTTTGTGAGCCAAGGAAGTCAAATCTACTTTCCGCTCAGAGTAAGGTCGAGGCCTGGAGAAGACAAGGCATTTCCTC